ATTTGATTTAGCTGAAACAAGATTTTACCTGGTTTTACCGGAAAAGCAGGATTGTCCTCAGGTAAATTAAATCATGATACATCATTGCAGTGAACTCAAGTGCAATACTTTATAAGACATAAGTCCTCCTTTAGTTTTCACATTTTTATATCTTATATGGGCAAAGCCAAATTAAATTCCAACACTATATAAATAAGCAAACTGATATGAAGGTACTAACTAGGTAAGTATAAAACCAGTGGTTAGCAACATTGGAATACTTTTTGAATTATATTAAAACTGTCTTGAATGTCCTATCCCAAATCTAAAAAAAATATATGGTAGGCTAAGGTAATAGAGAATTTTAAAATGCACTTTCTACCAGTGTTTATATTAAGAGAAGGATTGCTGCATACCTCAAGATGCCAAGGGAACAGGCAACATTGGGAAGCTGTCACAGCATACTTTAAGACACCTAACTCTATACAATTGTCTGCTGATCTGTTTCTTCAGAACTGGAACTAATACGACAACTGTCCTTTTCTGTCTCCTAATTTTATTTGAAAGTTATGTTTTATTTCTACTCTCGCTTAAAATACCTTTCAACTTTTTAATAATGGATGCAGTAACTTCACAAAAGTATAACAGTACGTGAAACCCCCAAGGAATAAATGAAATTTTTAATGCTTTCGGTCTTTTGGGAGGCTGGTACACAGCCAAATAAATTTATTCTTTTTATCATACAAGATGACTTTGAATTCAATCAGAATCATAAACCTACAGTTTTGCTACTTTAGGTTCATAAATTCTCTTCTTGTAACCAAATTATTTTAAAATGTATATTACAGAAGTTAACCTTGGTATTTACATGACAATAGAGTATGCAGCTTAGTATATTGTGATTACAACTTGTTATTAGATTTCTTTTCAGAAAGCCAACTATTAATTTTCCTAATAATGTTAGGTATTTGATTATCTGAAGCTGTATGACAAGATTTGTGTTAACCCTTGGGATTCAAATACAGGAAATTTTTTTCTAGTAAGGCTTCCCTAGATAATGTTTCTATTTGACTAGATAAGCGAAGATTACTTTTTTAAAAAAGTATTTTAGATAAAATACTGTAACTTGGTTCTTTCAATTGCTTTAGTTGATTCCTCCAAATTTGAGATTTATAAATATATTCTTATGACTGACTAGGGTACCTAAATTCTTGCCTTTGTCTCTTTATACACATCTCCCACAATACATCACCAAAGACAAAGAAATATAAGCTTCTGGCCCAATTTTTGCTTGAAAATTCCAAAGCACTAGGAGCACTTTAAGTTTGGTCTTGAAAGGAGTTGTTTATAAAATCAAAGGGCTACCGATTCCTTGTTCATCCTGCACTGAAGCACATGATGACAATTTCAAACCTTCCTCTTGGTTCATTAATTAGAACAATGCATTTCATTGCTTAAGTGTGTAATTCTACAGTGATTAGCAGTACTTGTTTTTATCATTTCATTTGGGTGGCCATTAATTTTGAAACTCTTACCACTCATTATAGCTGGTTGTAGTTTTTATTAAAGATGTAATTTATAGCTAGTAGCTTTTTTATGCATAGCTGCCTTTTTATTGTTTAACAGTGTTTCTCAGCTATATGATCAGTTTCAAACTGGTTGTAAAAGTATAGCTGTGGTCAATGAATGTATTTATTTGTTGTTTCACTAAATTGTAACAAAACACTCCTGTTAAAATAAAAGTGTTTGTGCTTTTATTTGAAGGTCTGGTTTTCTTAATCTCTCTTAATGAACTATACCAAATGAGTTTCTGTTACATAAGGATAAGAAACATAGTGCTACCAGAGAGAGAAAAAAGAGGAATTACAAATTATACTCGGCTAGTGAGCTTGTAATTACTCATACCTGACCATCATGTTCCTTAGTATTATACAGTAATTTTGATAACTGCTATACACTTTACTTTAAACGATATAGAGAGCACATGTTTATTTAAACACTAAAAATCCTTATATGAAATAACTTATAACCCCTCATTTCCCTTAGAATTTTAAATAGGGTAAATTTAGCCCATAATCTTGGGCAGTTATTCTTTGATTATTCAAAAATTCCTCAATGATGTTACCTTTTCCCCTGAAAGAAGAGGTCTTACTATTTTTTCCATAATTGACCGCTTTCATAGTCCGCCAAAACCACACCAAATTTTGAATACAATTTCAGGAGCTTTATTGACTTCCCTAAAGTCAACAGATCTTCGGGAATCCACTGACTGTTGCTGTGAAGAACATTTGGAGTGAAAATATGACCTCTAGTAGAATAAAGTTATTATTTTAAAAGCAATTTATTCAACAAACATTCATTTATTAAGTGTTCATATGCCAAAAACTATGCTATAGAGATGCAAAAATGGATCAAGTTCCTTTTCCTGCCCTTAAGGAGCTCACATTCTAGTAGAGGAGGCTTTAAAAAACAAAAATAATACAGTACAATAAGTGCCACAATAGAGGTAGGTTGTAATTACAGTGGTAACACAAAAAAAGGAAGTTAGTTATGGTCCTCCTGGGATGAAACGAGAGATTTCACAGAGGTGATGCTTTATGGGGGCCTGCAGGGACACACAAATTTTCCAGGTGGGGAAGGATAGCTAGGGCAATTGATGCAAAGAGAACAGCATGCACCAAGGTGTAGGGGACTGACCATGGTGCATTTGAAGAACTCTAAGTCCATTTTATCAGAACATGGGTGGTGGGGGACGTGGGACTGGGAGACACACATCAGAGAACCTTGTTAGAGTGCTTCTAAAAAACCCACTCTAGTAGCATCGTGGAACAAAACAGAAAAAACAAGCTGGGTATATAAGACAGGTTAGTACAGTACTTTAGGTAAGAGCAATCAATTAAAATGAAAAGACAGTGATGTATCAGAGATATGGAGATAAAATTCATAGCACTTAGACACTGACTGGATAGGGGTAAGATGGAGGAAAGGAGTGAGCCTAGAGAATTTAGATGATAATGGTTCTGAATTTAACCAGAGTAAGGAACATAGGTATAAGAGTAGGCTTGGGGGAGAATGAATGCTTTAAGACACACAAGTAAAGATATGTAGGACAACCAAGTAAAGATATGTCGTAGAAGGATGGAGAAGTCTGGGCTAAAGATAAGGATTTAGAAATCATTAAATTGGAATTACCCAAAAGTGAGAAGTGGTGGTGATTAAGAGAGCAAGAATGAGAGCCTGAGGAGTATAAATTAAATCAGGTAAAAGAAAGGCATCCAGGATTAAGTGAAATATAAGGAAATCAGAGGTTTAAAAGGGGATTTTTAAAGAAGGGGTTGTCAACAGTGTCAAATGCAGAAAAAATAAAGTCAAATAAGAAATGCCTTTTGACCTGAACTGTGGATTTAGAACTGGGTGTTTAGACTTCAAAGGAAGAAATTGTTAAGAACTACAGAGCCAAAAGCCCGATTTTAGTTAAAGAGCAAGTGGAAGGTGACAAAGTGAAGATAGGAATTTATTTCAAAAAAATTTGGGGCTGTTAAAAAAGGGCAGGGGCATGAGAGAGGTATACAGACAAATTACCATTTAAATCCATCTACCACATTTTCAGAGCACTACACATGTCCTTAAACTTTTATATATGGTAATTATTTCATAGTCCTTTGAGTCTCCAAGAATATTGATTTAACTAGTAAGTTAATGTCTTTCTTTTCCTACCCTATTCAAATGAAGGGGAAAAAGGGAAATACAAAATATTGTTAAACTTAGCTCTGAAATTATTCATTTAAAATATACTGAGTACATATTCATACATTCATTCAACAAATATTTATTGGATACCCACTATGTGTTTAACACTACACCAGGTCTTAGGGACACAGAGAAGAAAAAGAATACAGCAGTGTAAAATGACATTCCTAAACCATTATATAAATAAACCCTACTTCATTAATAATGTGGCATATAAAGAGGCACATAATTTTGAGGTATAGTTTCTTTTTTTCTCTATAATCACCATGTGATATAAATTCCCAAACCCCTTCAAAAATTTTTATCATTGAAGAGCTTTCACTAATAAAACCTCCAAAAATTACAGTTCAGTTTTTAAGGAGAAAAAGGAAATGAATACCAAAAAATAAATTAAATGACATCCCTGTGAGTTTACAGATCAAACATTAAAAGGGCAACAAAACAAACTCAAAATGATTCCTTATTCTAAGGCTTATCACATTATAGTTCCAGATTTTTTTTTCCTGAAAAAAATCATTTTTAATAAATTACTCAGTATTACAAACTAAGGTATGTAGGGTTCAAAGGGCCTGTCACTGACTTTCAAATGATTGAGTTAATAATAGTATGTGTATATAGAGAGAGCAAGAAAGATAAAGCAAATATTAACAATCAATGAATCTGGATAAAAGTTCTTTGTACTATCCTAGAAACTTTCCTGTAAATTCGAAATTATATAAAAATAAAAGATTTCTCCTAAATTTATTCAATATTAGGTAAAGTATTATGAGAATAAATGTATAAATCTTTTCAACTTTTCACAATGCATAGAAATCCCTTATACCTTTTAGTTCTGATTGTATCTTTCAACAAACAAAACCAAGCCAATCAAAATAGTAACATAATTCTAAAAGTGACTTTTTTTCATATCAATATATTTTGGAGTTGCCAGATAAAACACAAAGCTAACCAGTTAAATTTGAATTTTAAATAAGGAATAATTTTTTTGTTTTAAGTATGTCCCAAATATTGCATGCAACATACTTATATTTTTTTAAAATTTTGTTTATCTGAAACTCAAATATAACTGGGCATTCTGTATTTTTATTTACTAAATCAGTTAAGTCTAAATATATTGAAAACTTTTAGGCTGTTAATTATGGGTTATTCATGAGCCTCCTTAGTATTTTTCTATTAAACACTTGTCACATTGGCCATAGTTTTATTTATATTACATCTTACACAAAATTCTAGTTTGAGAGACTTAGAACATCAGGTACTGTTAACATATATGAATTTAATAATCCTGATTTATTCAATATTAAACTTTAAAATTTGTACCACATTACCAAAGTATCTTTTATTCACAATATTATACATAGACAACACAATTTTAAAAAATGTTTACTTAAAATAATATAATTCTCCTTTTACAAAAGCAGCTTTATAAAATATTTGCCTTAAGACTGTCGTTGTTATGCCTTTGAATGAAATTCTACTCTTTGACCTCCATTGTCCAGAACAGGCACATCTCAACTCATTTTCTTTAACGAACATTTTGCAACAAGTTCCTGAAGTTTTCTAATTCTTTCACACTTGTAGAAATTCTGTAACAAACAAACAAAATTTTTTTTTCACTCAGAAATTATCTTAGGTAACTTTTCTCTGAAAGTTATTCACTTTGCACTTATGGAGCACAGAAAAAAAAATTTTAAGTAATTTATTTCAACAAATTTAAAGGTACATAAATCATTTAATCTATTTTGATGTACTTTAGTTCTTAACTTGATGTGGTAAAACTAAGGTAGTATTGCCCAGAAATTTGTTATATTTAAGTATTCATAACTTATTAAAGTTTTAAATTATAGAATTACAAAGTACAAAAATATTAAAATACTTGTTATTTTAAGTAATCATAAGTATATTCATATGCTTAGTATTTAAAGTACATATGTATAAGTAGATCATTAAAATATGCATTTTAAATATGCATAAGTATACAAGCGCTGAAAACTAATCATTATATTTAGTAAATATACAAAGAACCAAAGCTTTTGGACTTTAAAGAGTGAGAATAGTAAACATGTGATCAAATTGTTCTTACTAATTTTTATAAAAAGTAGTTTGTTCATTACTTCAAGTGCAGTTTAGCTCTGCTCTCCACCATGAAAAAAGTAGCAGAGTACTCAATGAAATATAACTGTCAAGCTTCCGTGTACTAAAAAATAATTTTGGCCTGAGCCAGTTTGGCTCATTGGATAGAGCACTGGCCTACGAATCAAAGGGTCCCGGGTTTGATTCCCCATCAAGGGCACATACCTTGGTTGCAGGCTCTTCCCCTACCCGGGCCCTGGTGAGGGCTCATGCAGGAGGCAACCAATTGATGTGTTTCTCTCACATCAATGTTTCTGTCTTTCCCTCTCTCTTCCACTCTCCCTAAAAATCAATGGAAAAATACCTTCGGGTAAGGATTAACAACAACAAAAAAGAATAATTTTGGAGGTCAATTATTTCAAACCCAAAATATTAAATCATAACTGTTAGTCCTTAGAAAATACTAGTTTTTCCAAATCTCTGCATCTTTATATATGAGAGGCCAGAAAGAAGTACAGATATACTTAAATTTAATAATGTAAGTGCCTTATTTCAAATTTATCTTCCAATCATTTTTATGAAATTAAATTAATTTTAAAGAATTATTAACCTTTTTACATAGGTGTGAATTTACAAAGAAATTTTACATCTACACCTATACAAAGCATGAGTTTTTCCAGGACCTTCAAAAAATATTTGGGTCCTAGCTGGTTTGGCTCAGTGGATAGAGCACCGGCCTGTGGACTGAAGGGCCCAGGGTTTGATTCCAGTCAAGGGCACATGCCTGGGTTGCAGGCTCAATCCCCAGTAGGGGGCATGTAGAGGCAGCTAATCAATGATTCTCTCATCACATGTTTCTATTTCTCTCTTCCTCTCCCTTTCTCTCTGAAATCAATAAAAAATACATATTAAAAAAAATATTTGGGCTCAGTGGATAGAGGGTCGGCCTGCAGACTGAAAGGTCCCAGGTTCGATTCCGGTCAAGGGCATGTACCTTTGTTGCAGGCACATCCCCAGTGGGGGGGTGTGCAGGAGGCAGCTGATCGATGTTTCTCTCTCATCGATGTTTCTAGCTCTCTGTCACTCTCCCTTCCTCTCTGTAGAAAATCAATAAAATATATTTAAAAAAAAATATTTGGGCAGCACAAGAAACTACTTTTAAATAATTGGAGCCCTAGACCATGTGGTTCACGGGTTAGTGCGTCAGCCCACAGACTGGAAGGACGAGAATTCAATTCCCGGTCAAGGGCATGTACCTGGGTTGCAGGTTCAATCCCCAGCCCTAGTCCAAATGAGCAAGTATAGCAATCAGTCAATGTTTCCCTCTCAGATTGATGTTTCTCTCTCTCCCTTTCCCCCTCCTTCCCTTCCACTCTCTAAAAAAAAAAATCAATGGAAATATATCATTGGGTGAGGGTTAACAACAACAAAAATTAAATAATAATAAAATTAAGTTAATAATTTAAAAATATACAAATTCAGTAAGATGAATTTTGAGGTCCAATCAGTAAACTAATCATGACTATAAAAGTCAACAGATAAAAATAAAGAATATCATGTAATGATTGTTTGTATCTACATACTTAAGGTATCATAAGATCCTAGAATTCCATAATGAGATAATTTCACTCTAAAGGATATTCCTTACCCAGTTTTATCTGAGAGCATATATGTTGCATTAGACTTACTTGATAGCAGAAACTATTTTAATACATTTAAACTAACCTTCCAAATGCATTAAATAATGATACTATTTCTTGTCTGGTCAGTTGGAATTCGTAACTGGGCCCACTTTCTGGCATATTTGCTATCAGTTTCTCAGAAAACAAGATCTTCAGAGCAGTACCCAAACCCTGAGTCTATAATAGAAATAAGAAAAAAGTAAAATATCAGAAAATGTTTTGTGCAAAGAATAAAAGAAAAATAGGATTGAAATAGATTTGCTTACCTGAAGCTTTCCCCACAGTCTACATTTAAAACAACCAACACAATCCATGATTCTTGAAATATTTCTAAAATGCAGTCGAAATTCCTCCTAAGAACAAGTAACAAAATTATATTAAGCTGCAGTATATAGTCAAATACTATTTTCTGAATGCCTGTGAGGTATTCTGTTGTATGTGATTATTAACTATGTCAAAGGGGGGACAAGGGTTGGATGGCGTCATTTACCAAAAAAAAAAAAGAAAGAGATGGAAGAGAAAAAAATAAAAATCTTTTGACTTCATAGTAGTTAAAAAATCATAGTAGGTGAAAAAAATCAGATATTATTATTATTATTCAGAAATATACAGAATATAGTGAACATCCATGTACCCTTTACCAAGTTTTATAAAGAAACCATTACAAGTAAAATTGAACATTCTGAATTTAAAAAAAAAATTGTTATTGATTTCAGAGAGGAAGGGAGAGGAAAAGAGAGATAGAAACATCAATGATGAGAGAGAATCACTGATCGGCTGCCTCCTGCACACCCCACACCGGGGATCAAGCCACAACCCGGCATGTTCCCTGACCATGAATTGAACTATGACCTCCTGCTTCATAGGTCAACGCTCAACGACTGAGCTACACCAGCCGAGCTGAATTTTTTGTTTTTATACTTTTAATAAATGTGTATATGTCTTTGTACATCAGGGTACTATATTGTTTATAATAGGGCAACAGTCATCCAGCTCATCCAAAAGCAATATATGTCCTTAACTAATAAGGAGAAGAGAAGGGAAGCCAAGAACACATCTTCATTTACTCCAAAGGTAAGAATTATCAACTGATCCTCCACGTGACTCCCTCTATCCTGGACTAATACTAGAATCAGCTTACAGTACTGTAAGCAGGAAATCTGACATACATTTCAGATGAAACATCCAGTGTACCAACTGACCTATAATTTGGGGAGCATATAGTGTTCTTCTCTTTTTTTCAATAACCACACACTGGGCTCAACCAGAAGAGAACAGGACCAAAGATCTAAAACTGGGAATAAATCAGTAAAGATTGGAACCCACTATTCAAAGCAGACTTCAATTGACTCTAATTTACTCAATTCAGTCTTTCCCCAGATGTTTCATTCAGCTTGAGGCTCTGAAACAGCTGTAACATGTAAAAGATCTTTAACAGGATCCCAGGGCTTGTATCTTTTTTAATACAAATTTTGTGTTCATACAAAGCCCACATTATTACTATTAATGTTTACCATATGTTAGCAATACTTTATATCTTGTGTTTTTGTATCTTTTGGGCAGAGCTCAGAATCCTAATTTAAAATTTGCTTTTTAAAAATATGTACCCAGTAATATTACTCATATTACTCTTAAGGTTTTGGTGATTTGATATGAGGTTTTCTTTAAACTTATGTTTCAACTTTGAATTATAGGAAAATCATACTTTTAACACTAATAAGGGAGCAGTAAAATTACTCTAAAGTAGATGTGCCCATCCTATGAGGTGTTGACCTCTGGGAGACTTAATAGTTGTTACAAGGGCCTACAAAATCCATTTATAGACAAGTATTGTATAGAGACTGAATAAATAGCTCCCTGTTATGCACCATAAATTTCCAAATGGATAAAAATGTTATGATCAACAAAACACAACTTTTACTTTAAAATGTTACTAATTTAAAGTTAGTAAAGGCCTTGAAAGTTTTTGACTTTCATACTTGCAAAGGATGGAAACCTTTGTTATAAAAGATTGTGCTTGCTTTTGTAGACACTGTAAATTCGGTATTTGAATCCATGTTAATTCAAATACTTGAATGTAAGGCAGCTCTTAAGTAAATCTTTGTATGGCACATACAGAAAGGGTAAGTTTCTAACACTGCAAAATTAAAACCAAGCACAGCGCTTAAGTGAATTTAATATGCTAGCACCAAATTAATAAGCCAGAAATTAACTAACTCAGAACAGGAGAAAATCCTTGAGATTTCCGCAAATAGCAATCAATGTCCAATATCCTGCATATATTCCAAAGTTATCTCAGATGAGAAAAACTTATGATCCAAAAAATAACCAGAACCTAAGACACTTACAAATTCCCCTTTTTTGTGTCCAATGTTTAGATCAACAATTAAAAGTATAACCAGGGGGTAGAATAATCAAACATGCTGTGGTTATATACTGTGACTTATATTCCATGAAACCAATTGACCAAAAAACAATTCTCATCCAATTCTCAAATGTTTTTAAGCCTTCAAGTAAAATCGTATTCTAGTTTGAACTGAACACTAAACAATCCTCTCTCATGCACATCTTCTATTTCTAACCAAACACTGATGGAGCATAAAGGAGAAAAGATAAGATTTTTAAATGAACCTGTGTGACTGTTCAAATCTATGATATTCACCATAAACTACTATTTTAAGAAAGTAAATCTCCAATATTAACAAATTTTCTTGTGGTTTTTTTTTAACTCCTTTCTTGTAAAAGGATTTAGAAAAGTTATCTGTTAAATGCCACAGGACATCAAACTTGAGGGTTTTCGTTCTGATAAAATTAAAACATTGTGAGAAATATTTCTAATCTGCGCAATCTAAAAAAGAGTGAATGCCGAAAAACTCTACAATAAACCAGCAAGTAACCTAAAAATAAGGAAGATACTGAAACTAGTATGGGGGCGGGGGGGGGGGGATCTTATTACAGCATCTTCCCCCTCATTTCTAAGTTCCTGGAAGCTGTTTGGGAGGTTATATAAGCAGTGAGGTATGTATTTCTAGCAAGAATGCTTTAAGTAGGAGGTAGATGGGAGGTCAAAAATAACTGTTATCTAACAGCACAAAACTGACTGCAAAAAGTATTTTGCTTGCAAATGGCATAAAATCAGGTTCTTTCCTTACAGTAAGAAACAAAGAACAAGAAACAGAGGAAGACTGTTAAAAATATTCTGATGAAATCAGCTCCATGTTCCTGAAGGCCACCCACCTTTACTTACACATACCTTTGTGACAAAGAACAGTAGTATAATTTTATTTGAGTCCCCAGATGGGCTAGAAATCCCCTGAGGATAGGAGCTGTCTCTCCCTTTAATGACAAAAATCATGCCTTCCACGTAGTAAGCATTTAATAAATCTTCCTACTACTATTTTATATTTGTCATATTTTGATGCAAATAGACACAAAGATGGTCTTGCCTGAGGTTATAGCTCTTTAAAAGGCAAGGCAAACTGTACACCTAAACTAATATAATACTGTATGTCATCTGTAATTAAAAATTAATACACACACACACACACACACATCAATAAACAAAAAGAGGCAAGGCAAAAACATCCCATTTTGTGGGGTATCAGGTCTTCTGTTCTAGCCACAGCTACCTGCTGGCATTCCTAAATGCCTTTCATTCCCATTGAATAAGATGAATCACAAAACAACATTGTGCCCTCTTCCCCTAAATCAGGGGTGGGCAAACTTTTTGACTCGAGGGCCACAGTGGGTTCTTAAACTGGACCGAGGGCCGGAACAAAAGCATGGATGGAGTGTTTGTGTGAACTAATATAAATTCAAAGTAAACATCATTACATAAAAGGGTACGGTCTTTTTTTTTTTTTTAGTTTTATTCATTTCAAATGGGCCGGATCTGGCCCGCAGGCCATAGTTTGCCCACCGCTGCCCTAAAGGAATCCTTTAATTCAACCAAAACCATTTTCAGAATTCTCTCTAACCAAAGACAGACTAATACTTCCACTCATGCTCTAGATCCTGCTTCTTTAATTTATAACCTCTCTTTATTACATGAGCCCATCAGTATGGAACCCACAGATTTCCGTTGTTATTTTTAACACAACACAAACTAAATCATAAGTTGGACCTGCCTTTTGGGCTTCCTTTTTTTGAGGAAAAGAAACATTAGGACTCTGATTTTTTCTTATAATTTCAGGATGTATATCAATATTTATTGTTAAGGATAAAAACATGAGTTTATATTCATTCCTGCCTAAGAGTTTGTATCTAAAAATTAAGTTAAAGTATAAAATAATTACCTTTAGTTTGTTTGCTTCTTTTTTATCCCCAGCAAAAAACGAATTCTCATCAAAATGCAAAGGAAATGACCTGCATTTTAAAACAGAGAATATTCATTTTTATATTTTAGAAAATATTAAAAGGTCTGCTAAAAAAATATTTTGCTGGTCAGTGATGAATCATATAATTAAAATAGAGTAGAAAATAGAGTAAAAGGAACACTCTGATGCCCCCAAGCAAATTCTTCCCCTTGAATCTAAAAGCTAACTGCAAAATATAATTGAAGTTTGGCCCCAAATCCAATCTATTCAATTAAATGTGAAAATAATGCAGGTATCTAAGTACTAAAAGAATAGCTCTTAAAATTAAAAATATATGCTTTTTAGTACCCAGGTTAAAACAAGAACATAAATCAATTCTAAAGACCTATGAGCAAAATTTGCTGTTAATTATTTTTTAAGTAGTTTTTCTTTCTCTATATTGCATATTTAAAAATTTAATTTTGGATACCACTTGTCACGCTTCTATTAATATATGTGTATCCCGGCCGGCATAGCTCAGCAGTTGAACATCAACCTATGAACCAGGAGGTCACGGTTTGATTCCCTGTCAGGGCACATGCCCAGATTGCAGCCTAGATCCCTAGTGGGGAGCGTGCAAGAGGCAGCCGATCAATGATTCTCTCTCTTCATTGATCTTTCTCTCCTTCTCCCTTTCTCTCTAAAATCAATAAAAATATATTTTAAAATATATACATATAAGTGTAAATATATCATTTACTTGATTTCATGAAGTATTTCCAGAAGTAATATTTTGTTATCTGCATCCTGAACTTTATTCCCAGTGAAGAGTTGAAAATCTGGACGCTCAAAGAATGGTACCACTTTAGATAAAGCCTTTAATTCTATTAAGTAGAGAAAATACAAATTCTTAAGTCTTCTTGGACCTTCTCCCTCAGTCAAAATTCCATCAAACCGCTGCTGAAATTCTGTTACGTTGTGTCCCCATATCTGTTCTAACCAGGTATCTAAGAAGACAAAAGAATTAAATATTAAAAATTTAATTTTAAAATTAAGTAGGCTTAATTAGATAAAATTACAATAACCATGAAAACTTTTCATAACTTAGCCTTTAATAGTTCTATATTAATATTTTATCTTCTAGAACACATGCATAAAAGGAAAATAAATTAAATGTTTTACTGAGAAACCAAGTTCAATAAAAATCAAGTTTCTGAATACAAATGTATTCATAAGACCAAAATACACAATTAAAAATGACTATCTGGTATTACTAATGAGTTTTAAGCCTTCAGGTTACTACAGTTTATTTCTAAAATGTAAAAATTACTTTAGTTCCAGAAGAAATATATTACTGATGAAAATCAACCATGGTCTCATTTTGAAGAGCATTCTTAAAGGCTAAAGAGCAACAGAAAATGCTTTTACCCATTAAACTTCAGGCCTGATGCTGGTATACAAATAAATGAGTTCTGATACAGTAATATCTAAAGAATAACAAACTGTGCTGTTTCAGTTCTCACAACAGAAGAACATTTCCAGAGAGATGTGTAAAGTTTTGAGCAGCTTCTTAAAAGAAGGTAAAGAGCTAAGATAATGCTGAACTTTTCCTTATAGTAACTACAGTTTCTGTATTCCTGATTACTACCATTTAAGAATGAACTTTTCCTGCCTAATACTCAGTAAGGTTAATAGTGTTCCATTCAGGTAAATACCAAGAAAATGTTAAGAATACCTGAAAAAAAGTGTGGTAAAGGGAATGAAAGTAAACATCACATACCTTGTAGAAGATACCGTGCGCTCAAGTGCACATTAATGCTTGCATGTAGGCCAGATATCAGTCTGTAGAAGGCTCTTTTTTCTACACAGAGACCTAAAAAAAGGAATTTGGAAATAGACATTTCATATGTGAAACTTGTAAGGTTATGAAATTAACTTCATGTGTCTTTTTAAAAATGAGGGGAAAAAATCATTTAAATTTGTTGAAAAGTTTTCAATTACCTTCTAGCCAGCTGTAAAATGTGTTCTCTGAAATTAAAAGAAAAGTCACAAGATTACAAAAATGCCAAAAGGTAAGTTTTTCAAAAGTTTAAAAAAATAGCAAATGTGTGCCAAACAGTGATTTAAAGATTGTTTGACAAAAGGTCCAAATTTTATTTGCATTTCTCCAAAGGAAGGAGAGATGTCTTGGTATGGGTTCAGTTAAGTACCACTCTCCTGCTCAGTCTTTGGAAGCCTTTAGCATTAAGTAGCTCAGTCTAATAACTTTCTAGATAAGGTGTTTTACAGAAAGTCAAAGCAGAATTTAAATGGTAAGTCAATACATGGAAGAATACTTAGCCTTGATAACAGTTCATGCTATGAAAACTAAGAACTCATTATAGGTTTTTTTAAATTTGAAAAGTAAATAAAAATTATAAAGTAGAATTGGAAGTGTATATAACTCAGGGTATTATATACCATTCAACATTTCAAAAGAGCAAATCAAAGTTACAGAAACTAAACATCACTTATATTCTGTGACCTAGTAAGATCACAGTTAATATACTTAGACCTAGTAATTCTGCTTTTAGAATTATGTTCTAAAGAAATAATTCAATGCCCAGACAGCGTGGCTCAGTAATTAAGCGTTGTCCTATGAACCAGGAGGTCAAGGTTCGTTTCCCGGTCAGGGACATGCCCGGATCCACAGTGTGGGCCGTGCAGGAGGCAGCCGATCAATGATTCTCTCTCATCATTGATGTTTCTATCTCTCTCTCTCCCTCTCCCTTCCTCTCTGAAATCAATAAAAATATATTTTTAAAAAAATAAATAACTCAAAATGGAGAGGGGTTATAATTTTTAGAAAGATGATTATGCTATATATATTAAAACCTGAAATAATAAAAATGAACAATGATGCCTAATTTAACAAGACAGAATACTATATGACTAGTTAACATGGTAGAATAATATAAAAGTCTTAAAATGACAATAATGGTCCCCAGGAGGGGGTATGTACCGGAGGCAATCGATTGATGTTTCCCTCTCCCTTCTTGTCTCTCTCTAAAAAAAACAAACAAACAAATAAATAAATAAATAAATAAAACATATTTTATTTAAAAAATATTTTAAATAAATAAAATGACAAGAATGTGTAACATGAAAATATTTATCTAAAATAATGTATTAAAGGACATAAATAATTATAACTATGTAAAGATTCTAAGTATGCATTTACTAGATATAGCAAACATTGTACTATATTGTTCTTTGACTACAGTTGCTTATAGTAGCCCTAACCGATTTGGCTCAGGGGATAGAGCGTCGGCCTGCAGACTGAAGGGTCTCAGGTTCGATCCCGGTCAAGGGCATGTACCTTGGTTGCAGGCACATCCCCAGTGGGAGGTGTGCAGGAGGCAGTTGAATCGATGTTTCTAACTCTCTATCCCTCTCCCTTCCTCTCTGTAAAAAATCAATAAAATATATATTTTTTAAAAATAAAATAAAGTTGCTTATAGTAATATTAAAAATGATCCAAGCAAGCATAAAAGTAATGGAAGAAATGACAAAAAGAATAAATCAGACTACTTGAAAACTTAAAATGTCCATTGGAAAACTTCACAAATAAAAACAAAATACAAACAACGAAGTGTATAAAATGGATGGATGTTTCAAATTCAACAAAGGGATAATATCCTAAAAATATAAAAAGCTCATAAACTGAATAAAAATGCTAAAGTGCCCATTACAGATGGGCAAATAATATGAACAGAGAATTCACAATGAATAAATACAAATGGTAATAGATAAAAATTGCTTAGTCTCATAAGTAATAAAAAAATACAAATTAAAACTATAGAGATACCACTGTTAACAGTAAAGATAAAAATATAATATTTAATGCTGACAAAGGAGGGGTAAAGTCAGCTGGCACAGTGATTGGAAGGGGTGTAAATTAGCACATCCTTTCCATGACAAAATGCAATCTCGTCCTATGTATCAAGAGCCTAAAATGCCATAACCTTTGATCCAGTAAAGCCATTTCTAGAAATCTAGGCGGTTAGAGATAAATGTTTGCATACCCCCTAAAATTATGTGGAAGCCCCCGTGAGGGTATTTGAAGGTGGGGCCTTTGGGAGGTAATTGGGTCAGTTGAGGTCATGAGGGTGGGGTCCCCATGATGGAATTAGAGTCTTTATAAGAAGAGGAAGAGACCCAAACTCTCTCTCTCTCTGCCATGTGAGAATACAGCAAGAAGGCTGGCTATCTGCAAGCCAGGAAGAGAGCCCTCCCAGACACCAAATCTGCTGGCACCTTCATAGGACTTCCCAGTCTCCCGAACTGTGAGAAAGTAAGTGTCTTTGGTTTAAGCCTCCCAGTCTATGGTCTTTTGTCAAAGCAGCCTGAGCTGACTAAGACATAGGTTAAGGAAGCAAGTAGGCATGGGAATAATCTATATATATAAAGCAGTAATAAGCAAATTAGCCAGGCATCACAACCAGTTCAGGAATAGGCTGCATCACGACCGCTCAGAAGGAGCTGCGTGCACAGTGGGAGGGAGGGGACTTCGTGCCGCCCCCCAGCTCCAGTGGACACACACCAGGAGTGGGGGGGCATGCTCTAAGCGGCCAAGGCATGGCTCGGAGCACGCCCCCGGTGGGTGGTGGCAGCGGCCGGAGCAATGCAGCTCCAATCCCAAATGCCTGGCAGTGGGTGGAGCAAAGCAGCCCAGGTCCCAGGTGCCTGGCAGTGGCAGGAGCAAAGCAGCCCGGGTCCCGGTGGGTGGCTGTGGCAGCCGGAGCGAAGCAGCCCGGGTCCTGGGTGCCGGAGGGAAGGAAGGCCTATTCTTACATGAATCTTTGTGCATCAGGCCTCTAGTTATATATAAAACTATAATATATCTATTATTAAAATGGGAATAATAATATACAAAACTATAATATATCTATTATTAAAGTATACATATATAAATAATCATTATTATCAAAATGTTAACAGAGAAGCAGTATGAGATAGTAACTAAGAGCATGGATCCTGGAGCCAAACTACCTGCTTGGAATCCAAATTCTGCTACTTACAAGTCATACGATTTTAGCTGAGCTGCTAAATGGCTCTGGGACTCATTTTCCTTGTAATACCTCCTAGCTCAGCCGACCTGGCTTAGTGGTTGAGCGTCGACTTAAGAACCAGGAGGTCACAGTTCGATTCCCGGTCAGGGCATATGCATATGCCCAGGTTGCGGGCTTGATCCCCCATTGGGGGCATGCAGGAGGCAGCCAATCAATGATTCTCTCTCATCACTGATGTTTCTATCTCCCTCTCCCTTCCTCTCTGAAATCAATAAATATATATATATATATATTTTTTAAATACCTCTAAGGTTGTTGAAAGGGTTAAATGAAATCATATTTTTAAATTTCTTAGAAGAATATTGTATGTAGTCTTAGCCATTATCATTATCAGTGATTTTGGAGTTGTGGGATTACAAGTGATGTGTTTTCCTGTAAAAACCTTTAGTTTTGTTTTTTGTTTTTTTCAAATTTTGGACTGTGAATGGGGCAGGGAGGAGCAAGAGTGTAATATTGTTTGGGACCTAGCCTTCTGATGAAATTTTCAGTTCAGTTTTATAATCCTGATGTAGTTATTCTCAGCTTGGCCTGACTGTAATCCAGTTAGATAATCACCTAATCTGACAGCTTTCAGAGGTAACCTTTTCATATCTGACCAAAATGAATACATACAAATACAGTCATAAAAAAGATAGTTTCTCTAAGGAGAGCCTCCACAGATTAACAATCTTTTCTCTGATGAGAAGCAGGTTGAGATCTTCAAATAGTATTGGGAAAAAAAAACCAATAGCCTTTCCTGATGTAGCTGGAATACAGCATAGAACTAGGAACACCCAAGGCAGAATAAAGTTACTCAAAACTAAAAATTATAGGCTCAACACTAACAGTAACAAAATATGAGGCTCCTTGGAAAAATAATATCACTGCTAAAGAAATTTCTCTTCCAAACAGTAGAGTATGATTCAGTATTATTTTTTATTTTTGTTTTTTATTGATTTTAGAGAGAAGAAGGAAGAGGGAGAGATAGAAACATCAATGATGAGACAGAATTATGGATCAGCTGCATCCTCAACGCCCCCTACTGGGGAATGAGCCTGCAACCCAGGCATGTGCCCTGACCAGGAATTGAACCATGACCTCCTAGCTCATGGATCACATTGAGCCACACTGGCTGGGCCTGATTCAGCATTACTTCTAACGTACAATAATAAAATAGCAATGTTGTAAGACATTAATATTACTTTTTTAGACATAATGCAAAAGCAATTCATAAAAATAATGTTCATAAACTTCTGAGGGAGAGGGAAGTGATACATTTAGCCATTTTGTCTAGCTGGACGAAAGCTAAGTACAGCTTAGTCTTTTCATACTGTTAAACACATAGCCTTAATAACAAAAATCATTTTGATCTCGCTCATAAAGCAAAAAGGATTCTGAAAAAGACAAAGTAAACCTACAATATGTCAAAAAGTTTAGCATTAGAATTAGAGAGTCGGCAATGATACCTACACCCAAGAGTCAGCATAAACCTTGGACGCCCGCAAATCAACACTCTGATCATGCCTGGAACCTTCCTGTATGAGTCCTAGCAGATCCTCGAGTTCAACCAGTAACAGGGTGTTTCCCTGTCTAGCTTTCCACGTGCAGAGGAACACGTAGGAGTGAATTATCAGAGGCTGATGCCTGCTGCCCCTACTGCCTGATCCCAGACACAAGCAGTCATTTTCCCTTAACCTGTGCTTCCGCCTCCAGAATTTTAAATAAAGAAATAAAAATTAACCTCTTCTGAGTCTCAGAAGTGAGAAGAAAAAAAAAATTTTCCAAATAAACATCTGAATCTATAAGAAAAGTCATATATGTAATGTATGATAAAGAGAGTCTACTTACCTTCACTTTTCCCTGAAAAACAAAACAAAGTGTTTATTATTATAAACTCCTTCCAGATGCCCCTTTTAAAATACTATACTTCTATAAAAATAAGACTTTTAATAAGGGTTAGTTTTAGCCCATCAGTTCATCTACATAAGCAGAATCCATGATACTCCTGGCTGAAACTCTTATCAGTGATAGGAATTATGCCAGATTAGTGGCATCATCTCCAAGAGCCCCAATAAAGAGTAGTTGCAGCTCATATAAGATTTAATATGGGCTAACAGGAGAGGAAAACCTAATCTGTCACCTGAGAGTGCTCTTGAATACCTTAAGGACTTACGGTTATTTGGCTGGCAGAGGCTTTCTCCACATTTATTTATCCTAAAGCTATAACGTAGTTTCTGCTACAAATTTGAAACCTCCAGACTGACATTATAAAATTTTACTCTATTCAGGAATATTTTTAGAGACTATTTGTAAGACTCAAATTATGCACAATTCAGCAGTTGGTATGCAGCTGCTCATTTACATGGAAAAATTATCTTCATTTGCCCACTTTCATTCAATGCTATCACTGTTTGATTATTAAGTAACATATGCTCATTGCAAATATGTGTTTTTCAAAAAGAGAACACAAACAAAATAAAAAATATCATCCAAAACTCCCTCTGCCCAAAGATAAATACCATTTACATCTTGGTAAATGTCCTTTTTCTTTGTGTATAGATATTTAGCTATTATATTTTTACAAAAATGTATTATACCTACTTCTGTAATGTTTCGATACCTGTTTTTTCTCAATGTGTTATTGATCACTATTGACGCAAATGAATACAAATTTCATCAACATTTATAATGGCTATGTGAATATACCATAAATCATTTAACCACTTCCGAAATGATAAACATTTAAATTGTTCCTATGTATCTTTAAGATAAGTGAAGGTGGCTAATTAATTTATCAGACCATAATGTGAGTTCATACTGAAGATCACCTCTTGTCCAGGAATTTGCATTTCATCTTATATTAAATCAATACCTTCGACTGAGTTACCATATGCAACTCCATAAACTCAAAGCCTTGTTTATTTATTTTTTTTTAAATATATTTTATTGATTTTTTACAGAGAGGAAGGGAGAGGGACAGAGAGTTAGAAACATCGATGGGAGAGAAACATCGATCAGCTGCCTCCTGCACACTCCCTACTGGGGATGTGCCTGCAACCAAGGTACATGCCCTTGACCGGAATCGAACCTGGGACCCTTCAGTCCGAAGGCCGACGCTCTATCCACTGAGCCAAGCCGGTTAGGGCTCAAAGCCTTGTTTAAAGATGTTCTCCCATTTCTAATCTAAGAAAGACTAATCTGCCAGCATTTAGGGCAGTGGTTCTCAACCTGTGGGTCGCGACCCCTTTGGTGGTCGAACAACCCTTTCACAGGGGTCGCCTAAGACCATCCTGCATACCAGATATTTACATTATGATTCATAACAGTAGCAACATTATAGTTATGAAGTAGCAACGAAAATAATTTTATGGTTGGGTCACAACATGAGGAACTGTATTTAAAGGGCCAGAAGGTTGAGAACCACTGATTTAGGGGATGATGCAACCCATTGCTTTCAAGGAGGAAATTTATGTTTATGGACTATATGAGATCAGCAGCTATTCAAATAAATTTAAAAACAATAACCTCACATATTTGCTAAAAGCACATCAAAGATTTCATCGGTAAGCACATATTCAGAGAATAGGTATAGATATTATAACTGCTTATTATAGACTGGAGAAGGGTTTGTGTCCCTTCTGCACCTACACAGTGCCTAGCATATAGTACATGGTGGATAATCATTTGTTGAAGGAACAAGACCATTAAATGAGGACACTTTTCATCCATCAATTATCTAACAAACTCTATGATGTGCTAGGCTCTAAATTAACAGATGAAACCAATAAATGTGTCCAAAGTACAGTGTAGATCAACAGATATGTAAATAGTAGTCAAACAATGCTAAACAGTGGAAAGGGCTAGAAGAGGAACAAGACATGGCATAAGATCACTTCCTGAGAAGAGACCACTTCCAGTTTGGAGGACCAGCGATAGCTTTGTGGAAAAGGAAGCATGTGGGCCAGACCGTAAGTGTAAGTAGAAAATGAAAAACGTTAATGAGGTACAAAGACCTGTGAATTTGAAATCAGACTCCCAATAATTTCAAGTGTTGGGAAAGATGTAAGGTAGAAGGTGTTGGACATTCATTTAACTAGAAAATGAGTAAAAATAGTAGAAAAACGGAGCACACGTTATGTGAAAATGCATAGGATAAATATATAACTTCATCTTCACACTATGGTAGTCTAATACCAGGAACTTCATTACAAAAATACTCCTTCCTGAAGTGTATGTCAAACACCAATTTCTCTGCAAGAATAAGGTATAACTTCTATGGAAAAAAGGAATACTAGCATATCACCTCACATGCTCTTGCCAACCCTTTTCAGGCCTTCCCCCTCCTCTAACCAAAGTTCACTGGCCGATGAATATAACAGTGCAATTAAATAACTCACCTTGACTGGAAGCCAAAGGATTTAAAGGTCTTTTAATTGTCTGTGGCCTGGAATCAAAATAAAGTTACAAAATATAAATATGTCATCTATAATGTTACTTAAGTAAAAATGAAAATTATCTCAGAAAGTTTCTTAGTGACTATATCCAAAACCAAACTGTTTTATTGAGCTTATAAAATATTTAGTTTTCGCTAATTGCTTTAAGGGAAGCAATTTAAGGGAAGGTGGTTGTTATTTGTTTTAATGATAATAGTTTCTGAGCTTTTTCCATTATAACAGCCAGAAAGTCATTTCCTAATCACCTCTTCAAACAAAGGAAGAAAAAAAATACCACTCAAGCTCTTCTCCTGGAGTCACTAAAATGCTTTTAAATGTATTACATACACATATGTGTGTATATGCCACAAAGTACAATCCAAATTGAAAGACAAACAAAAAATGTAAATACGCAACAAGCATTAAAATAAGGAAGAAAAAAAGTGTGGGTAGATTATCTTCCACTTAGGAAATCTTAGGCATCTCAGTCTTCCCTGTGGCCATCGAGTTGGTTATGATTTCAATAAAAGGTGTGTTTTTTTTTAATAAGGATAAAAAAGAGAGTTAATATGTCACTAAAGTGCTTTTAAATCTCAAAATGAATATTCATTAGTATCATTTTGTGAAGTGCAGGGATTGTTTTAACATCCATTATTTAAATTTTACAAATTTGTACAAGTTGGGACATTTTGAGAACAGAACATGTAAGTTATATTTTAACATGCTCAATTTAGCACCTCATACATCATTTATATTTTAGAAATATTGTGGTAGTCGTGATATAAATTAGTTAGAAAAGAACTATAAAACTAATACAAAATCTAACAAGTGCTTCAGTTGGACTCTATTTTAGTTCACTTTAAAAAAAAATCTTTTAAAGTAAGTCAGTAAACCAAACATAAACAATCTGAATAATAGTCAAGAGAATTGAAATGAAACATATGGCAGAAATAAGTAAATAACGAAAACTCTCCACTACCCAAACTGGAGAAATTCTTCAAGTCAAAAAAAGGAACAGTCTGACATTTTACTGGTATAAGTACACTTGCTGGTCTCTTATGTTTATATTTGACTTATAAAAAGTGAAATGCATTATTGCCATATCTGGAAACTCCAAAGATTTTCCCAGAATTCCCCCTAATCTCTGAGATAGCATCACACACACACACACACACACACACACACACACTCTCTCTCTTCCAAAAACCAATAAGCACATTGTTTAGAGCTTAAAAGCTTAGAAGTGAGTAAACTTGAAGTATGTCTCAGTCACCCAGTGATCAAATTGACTGCTTCCACTATAGTGATTTAGAGTACGAAGTGGGTTCTTTGATGCTGGACAAACCAGTTAAAATCAGCTTTCCAAATTTCTGTTTCTCCATCTCTAAACTGTAAGGACGACAACACAGGGTGACTGGCAAGACTAAAGGAGAAGATCTATGTAACATGCTTATTAGCACGATGCCTACACAGAGTGAGTGTTCAAAAGTGTTAGTTATTATAATTATTCTGTGAAATTAATTTAACCTTGAAGTGGGTAAAATAACTATAGGAACAAAAAGAGGAGTAAAAGTCACCAAAAAGAGAATAAGGAGTTATATATTCTGATCTATTCTCTGCCACTAACCGTATGATTTTAGAAAATGAAGTAACTCTCTCTCAGGCTCTAGGTTAGCTCATCTAGAAAATGAGGCTCTCTGACCCGACTCAAGGAACATTTTCAGTGCCCACAACACTCCCATAAAAGTCTAATACTATTCTAAGTCTTTTAAAGAAGAAAGATATTTGTTGAAACATGTCTACATGTTTTCCCAGAGGAGACCTGGTTCCTATGTCCCAATACATCCTTTAACAAAGTAAATTTCATTTGTAGTTAAAATCATTATTATTTTGTTTGTTTACAAAGAGAAATCACTACATCTCCTAAAAATTTATAAATGGAAATGACACATACTTAAAACAGTTTTCTTCATAGATGACATTCCATATCCTCCAAGCATCTGGTCCCTTGTAACCCGTGTAGCGCTCAGGATTAAGGAGCAAATCTACGTACTCAGCATCAGGAGACTGTATGTCTATAAAATAAAAGTTTCTATTGAAACTTTCTTCTTTACAGTTACCTTTAAAAAGCTAATATAGAAGTATTCCATTGATTCTAAGGCATCACAGATGTGTCAATGCCTCAGGGACTTAAAAACAACTTTTCAGGAGAAAGATAAAAGAATCAACACAGCCACGTTAAATGTACACTCTAGTTTCAAAAGCATGCTGCTTTTAGAAATGTTACAAAATAGGAACAGGTGAATTTTAGAACCAAAGGAACATGGTAATTCAATTCTCATAAGCTATCCATACAAAGAATATATATACATGTCCCTCCACAATGACCACAGTAGTTCATCAGTAACTAAGGTAAATGAAGTGTTAGTACCATACACTGTTTGTTATCAAATACTTCCTTCCTGCATGAGCACCATCAGAATCCACCACAAACCTGTCCCAAAGGTATAATCCTAAACATGCAAAAAGTCACATCCAGGATGGCTTTTGGGTCTGCATTATTTATAAAAGGGAAAATTGGAAGCAACCTAAATGTCCAACAGAGCAGAGCATGGGTTCTGGAGCCAGAGTGCCCGGGTCAGAATCCAGGACAAGTTATGTAAATTCTCTGTCTTGTGCCATCATTTCTAAGATAGGGATAATATTCACAGTGTTACTGTGAAACTTAAATAAGTTATATATGTGCAGAGAGCTTAGAACAATGGTAAGAGAATAATAAATATTAGCTGGTGGTATTGGTGTTATGATGTATATTAACAGGCCATTTTATAGTCAAAACTATTAAGTACAAAGGCTATCTAGTAAAATGAAAAGATAAACATTATAGAGAAGTCAGTTAAAGATATATAAACAAAACATACAAAAATTGGTGGGATATTGCTTTCTTGTGTGTTCTATAAATTTGTATATATGTTATAACTTCAAAGCAACAACAATAAAAAGGACCCTAGTCCTCCAGTGGCTTTGGGAAATTATTTAATAGCACAGCAAAGCCTTACTCCTCTAGAAGGCTTAACAATATGCACCAACAAAGAATTTGCTTCCAGAAGCAACATAGCAACAGCATCTAGAAATAACTGAACGTCTAAGATAGAAGTAATACACAATATAATAAATTATAATAAATTCATAAATATATTCATAAAACATATAAATATTGCTCAGCAACTACTACTTTAAGACAGAAAACTAACCACCAAGAAATGATTACATTTTCATATTTTGCCTAGAGATAAACATTGCCTCATAATTTTCCTTATGATAAGTATTTCCTCTCCCAACTTTATTTTTTTTAATGTTATTAAAACTATATTTTGTCAGATGACAAAAGTTTAAATTTCTTCTTTTTTTTTAATCCTCACCCAAGGATATTTTTCCCATTGATTTGTTTAGAGAGAAGGGAGGAGGGGGGCAGAGAGAGAAGGAAACATCCATATGAGAGAGACACATCGATTGGTTGCCACCCATTCGCATCCCTTTCATACCCAACCAACCAGGGCCAGGAATTGGGCCTGCAACTGAGGTACGTGTCCTTGACTAGGAATCGGACCTGAGACCCTTTGGATCAATGCTCTAACCACTGAACAAAGCCAGCCAGGGCTTAAATTTCTCATTCGGATATATAAAATACCTTCTATAGTCCCCTTACCACTTACACACATTATGTATTCCTTATAAAGCTTTCCTTTTTTATAATATCCACCCTCCTTTCACAGAATAAACAAATACAAATTGTCAAGTGGTTCACCCAAGATAACAGAACACCACCACATAAAAAGTGAATTATTGATTCTCAGTCCTTGCCACACAAAGGTAAGCTGGCAGTCTCAAAAGGACACTTTTTAAATAGAAGTAAAGGTATTGCCATTCTTTCTCTAACATTGCAGGCCTTAAAAAAAAGTGCTGCAAGTTATAAATTTATTTTATCTCACAGCACTGTTTACTCCAAAGAATCCTTGTGGAAAAGATGGCAAAGTTAGGGAGCTGGGAGAGCATTTACCCCTTTCCTTTACTAAGCCATCCTCACCCAACACCCCTGAAGCCAAATGTGTTTGGAATTCAGAACTTTTCAGATTTTAGAAAATACAGTGCATGCAGCATATATTGACTATTACTCCAGCAGGGACGGAGGCAGCAACTTTTGATCAAATACATAAATATCTCTGCCATGAAATACATGAATATTCACACAATGAATCTATGATAAACTTAGAGGGAAAAATATTGACTTTTCTATGTTTTCAGAATTTGGAAATAAGAATAAAGGGCTATAGGAGGGAGACCAAGATGGCGGCATAGGTAAACACCGCAGACTGCTGCCGCAAACAACCACTTCAAAAATACAACTAAAAGACCTTTTGATCAAATACATAAATATCTCTGCCATGAAATACATGAATATTCACACAATGAATCTATGATAAACTTAGAGGGAAAAATATTGACTTTTCTATGTTTTCAGAATTTGGAAATAAGAATAAAGGGCTATAGATATAAATGTGCCCAAACATGGTCATGTTTTTTTATTAAGGAAAGCATGTATTTCTTTTTTAAAAGAAAAAAAGCCACAAAATTAAAAGTAAATACTTTCTATTTTTCTTCCTCTTTTTTTTGGGGGGGGAAGGGGGGTGATAGGGATTGCTGACTTCATCTTTTACTTGTAATTAAAATGATCTGTATCACTCTTCACTAATTTTTTATTTTATTTTTAATCCTCACCTGAGTGTATTTTCTCCACTAACTTTTAGAGAATGGAAGGGAGGGAGACTGTGGGGGAGGGAGGGAAGGAGAGAGAGAGAGAGAGAGAGAGAGAGAGAGAGAGAGAGAGATCAATGTGTCTCTCACATCGACTGGTTGCATCTTGCAATGTGTCCTGATTGGGGCCAGGGATCAACCTGTAACCCAGGTAGCACCCTTGACTGAGAATCAGACCCAAGACCCTACAGTGCCCAGGCCAACACTCTAACCACTGAACCACACCATCTAAGGCTTCACTAATTGTTTAAAAGATCACTAATTTGCTCTAAAACAGCCATAGAAAAATACCAAAATTCAGTTTGATTGTATGTTGTTTAGCCAATTAAAAGGCTAAACAATTCAATTTAGGAAAAGGGAGACACTAGAAAAAGGAAGAAGAGACAAATCCATAAATCTTGATCAAAGAGTTCTAAGGGTTTCTGGGGCTCCTACATTTTAACAGCACCAGCCCTCTGGCTTAGCTTTAGATGTAGCAGATACAACTGATGGGTCATCATTCTCTTTTCCAAAAGTAACATGGACCATCACCATTAAGGAAAATATTTAACAATATGGTATCAGTGAAACAGAAGCAGGTTTTTGCATTCCCTACATTTTAGCTATTTATGCAAAATGTCTGTATATATTATAAAAATTATAATATATAATATATGATGTAATCTATATTTTATGCAATACAATATATAATAATATTATATATATATTACTAGAACTATGGAACTCAAGAGGTGATTTTTTTTCAAAAACTGAAAACCATTAAGCAATAACTCCCCACCTCCCTTCCCTCCAGCCCTTGGTAAACTCTAATTTACTTTCTGTCTCTATGTGATAAGTTACCTAATCTAGATATTTCATACAAATGGAATCATACGATACTTGTCCTTTTCTGTCTGGCTTATTTCATTTAGCATTATGTTCTGAACGTTAATTCACACTGTAGCATGTATCAGAACTTTATTTCTTTTTACGGCAAAACAGTATTTCATTGTATGTAGGTACTACACTTTCTTGATACTGTACATTCATCCATTCATGGACACTTTTCCCACCTCTTGGTTATTGTGAATAATGCTGCTATAAACATAGGTGTAAAAATATGTTTCCCTGTAGTCAGTCTTTTTAGATGTTTGCTTAGGAGTTGAATTGTCAAGTCATATGGTAACTCTAGGTTTACTTTTTGAGGAAATGCCAAACCATTAGAAAATGAATTTATAAAAGTCATTTTTAAAGAATTATTTTTTTCTTGGGTACAATCTTAAACAAAATGCATACTATAAAAAAGGTTTTACCATCAGCTTCACAGAAGTTGTCTGAGGAATCATCATGCTTGGTCCACTGAAGAACGGCCTTCTGCGTTTCCTCACTTCAAACAAAGATAACAGTGTTATTCTTTTTTTACAGTTAACATTTCACCTGGAAAAAAAAACAACACAAAAAAACATAAAATGCTGCTGCTGCCAAAAAAAAAAAAAATCAAACCTCAGAGACTCATCCACAGCTCCAAGTCGTTCAGCCTGTTCACATTCTTCAATGAGATCATTGCCTTCTTCAGAATACTGAAATGAAAAGGGGAATAAATAGAATACAAGTTTACTGCATTTTTTAAATGTTTAAAAAAGAATTTTTTAACACATTGGCTATGATGTCACTCTGTATGTAAACAAGAAAACATGGGATTGAAATGAGCAAAATCAGTTTAGAATCTGTAATAAATAAGTAAATAGAGGGAAAAGATACAAGTCTCTCATACTGAAGAATTCCAGACAACTTATATCCTCAAGGAGATGAAGCACTCCGTAAATGTGGGCTGTGCATAGTGGTGACTTCCTTCCAAAGAACACAGTACGAAAAGGGTGAGAAAGAATAAATCTATGGTGGAGAAAGCTGACAAAACTACCTCAACCAGGTGATCAAGGTCAACTTTAATAGGAAAAAGTCATATTGGTAATATGTGACGTGACGTGACGTGACGTGACGTGACGTGACGTGACGTGATGTGACGTGCCGTGACGTGATGTACACGAGGAAAACGGCACTTTACTTCTGTGGTCTTCCTCCCAAAAACATAACCCCACTCTGAGCGTGAGAAAAACATGGACAAATCCCAACTGGGGACATTCTACAAATGCCTGACTAGTACACCTTAAAAGTATCTCATCAAAAACAAGGCAAGGCTGAGAATGAGTCCCAGCCAAGAGGAACCTAAGAGATATGACCCCTAACTGTAACTTGCTATCTTGGATGCCATCCTGAAACACAAAAAGGACATTAGGGGGAAACCAAGGAAATCTGAATACAACGTGGACTTTAGATAGTAATAATGTATCAATATCGGTTCACTTATTGTAATAAATGTATCATACAAATGTAAGATGTTAATCACAGAGGAAACTAAGTGTGGAGTACATGGAAACTCTGTACTATCTTCACAATTTTTTCTATAAATCTAAAAGTGTTATGGCCCTGACCGGTTTGGCTCAGTGGATAGAGAGTCAGCCTGTGGACTGAAGGGTCCCAAGTTCGGTTCCGGTCAAGGGCATGTACCTTGGTTGTGGGCACATCCCCAGTAGGGGGTGTGCAGGAGGCAGCTAATCGATGCTTCTCTCTCATTGATGTTTCTAACTCTCTATCCCTCTCCCTTCCTCTCTGTAAAAAGTCAATAAAGTATATTTAAAAAATAAAAATAAATAAAAGTATAATGAAGTTAAAAATTTATTTAAAGAGAGAGAGACATAAGAGACACATCAACCAAATGCCATGTATGAAATATATTTGAATCCTGTTTCAAACAAGCTATTAAGATACTTATGAAACAACTAAAGAAATTCAAAGCCTGACTGTGGTTATATTTTTTAAGTATATTTTAATCTTAGGGATGTATATAAAGTATTTGTAAACAAAATGATTTACCTGAGACTGGTTTTAAGTACTTGGGAGAATGAGGTGGGATGTACAGATGAAACAAGATTAACCACACATTGGTAACTGATGAAGCTCTGTGATGGGTACATGTTGTGGGTTTGTTTCCTCTACTTTAATTTTTCTTTCATGCTTTGCATAACAAAGGGTTGAACAAAAGAACTGGAGTCATTGAGTACAAATAACTCTCAAGGGGTTTCACTGTGAAGGGGAGCAGAGAAGTGGGGTAGTAGCTGGTAGGGGAAATGAGTCTTTGTTAAGATATTGGACACATTAATCAATATATACATACCTTGTAGCTTGCAGATTTAATTCCATCAGGAACTTCATCCTGAAAAAGAAAAAAAATGCTTTTACATGACATTTATCCTACTGATAAAGTATTTTAAATTTCCATGATTTATGAGAAAAATTCATGAAACAAATTATTGAAGTTAACATTTTTTAACTGAGAACAAGTTAGGCAGTTGTAACATTATTTTCTGTTAGTAAATAAAAATGCAACGACAAATTATTCTATGGATTGCTGATATATATTTCAGCATGGAAATGTAAAAATAGTCACTTAGTTATTATTCAATGTGATGCTCAAATTGTCCACATTTGGCCACTAGGGGACCCACTTATGCTTACTTGATATTTGCACCTGTGTCTTTTGATAGTACCCCAGTTATTTTTGTTGTTGTTGTTTAATTTATCTTTATTGTTGAAAGTATTGCAGATGCCCCCTTTTTTTTCCCATTGACCCCCTCCACCCCGCACTGGCCCCTCCCAGGCCTTCACCAGACTATTGTGTGTGTCCATGGGCTATGCATAGATGCATATAAATTCCCTGGTTAATCTCTCCCCACCCACCCCCTCTACCCCAGTAATCTTTAACAGCATTTTTTATTTCTGTTGTGACAAGATACTCCAAGTTCATCTTGTATATTTCTTGTTCCAGTCTTGGAATTGCTTGTGGTGTTTTTTTGTTTGGTTGATTGGTTGGTTTGTTTGTTTTGTTTTAAGAAGGCTTCGTTCTTTTCAGAGCAAAATAGAACCATTTTTTAGTCAAGCATTGGCCACTTACCAACTACAGGACCTATCTGCCTATCATCAAAGTGATGCTGTGAGTGCAGATAATGAGGTACATGGGAGAACTCTGTAAATTGCAGGCCCAATGCTAAGTATATCCCTGAATTAGAGTTTGCTCAAAGGGGAGGACCCACACAGAGACATGCACTTTATCATGTACCCTTCAGACTCTGAACTAGGTCAACATGTGTTCTTTTTCTATGCCCAGGTATTTAGATGGTTTCTAATTTTTTCATATAATAAACCATGCCAACTTTATAGGCCAATTTCAGCAGAACTGACATCTCTACAAAATTCAGTACTGCTTTACAATCATCTTTGTACATTTGTTTGATTATTTTAGTCAGTGAAATTCCTAGTGGAATTGCTAGGTCCCTGATATGTACCTTTTTAATGTGTTTGATACATTTGCCAAATTGATCTCGAAAAGACTTCACCACCAGAGTGCTTATTTCCTAACACTGGATGTTGTTACTCTTTTTCGCCTGGGCCACTAAGTAATGGAGGAGAAAGAACCATGTTTTGATTCACTGTAAAGGAAGTAGCCTGTGTTTCAGCTTACAGAGAGGGTCCAGCCTCTGTGGGAGACCACCAGCCACATTCAAATATTCTCTGGAATCAGGAGTGTGAATCAAAGGGTATGCATTTTAAAGACCATGTTTGAGGAAGAGAATTTCAACTTTTATTATTTTTCTATCTCCTGCTGGGTCCCAGAGTATAACCTGAACCAAGTCTAAAATTGAACCAAAAAAGGAAACTGGTGTTGGTTCCCTGTTTAGCCCAAAAAGGTGTTAACAAAACAGCAGCAGACCATGTGAAGTGGTGAGTTAACTGTATTTAACCTTGTACATCAGGTTAAGAAAGAATTGTTAAGTGTTTTAGGTGCGGTAACTACATTGTGTTCATAATGTAATGTTCTTATTTTAAAGATGCAGACTGAAGTAGAATAGATGTCAAAATATCAGTCATGTGCAATATAAATTCTAGCTATGAAAGCTGATTATTCAGCCTAGAGCAAGTGTATCAAAGTGTTTGAAATGATCTCTAATCACTCTTTGGTTCTGACAGACTGCCCTATTTTAGGATCCGTTGGAACTGAGCCCAGCTTGTCCTAAGGGGAATGTGAATGGCTCATTGCCTCACTGCCACTTACAGTGGAGTTTCTCATGTCTCCCTCCTCTGCTCTGCCTTCCCCTCTGCTCCCACGGTGTGTACATGTTCAGTACATCTACTATTGGGCTATCACATTTGCATTGCAACTGTCATTAGTGTTTGTCTCCCCTATTAAACTATAGCTCCTCATGGTAAAAGCTTATCTTATATGTCCAGGTTGTGGCACACAGTAGACCCTCAAAAAATATTCACTACTGAACCAAATTACATTCCATTGCTAAGCGATATTCCTTTACCAGTTTTTTCTCCATCTCCTTTCTCATCTTCCTCCCCACTCCTCACAACACTGCCAGTTATCTTTCCAAAATCTTGGGTCTAATCATGGCATTACAAACACACACACACACACACACACACACACACACACACACACGATATATGCATAATTATAATCTAACTAGAGGCCCGGTGCACAAAATTCTTGCACAGGTAGGGTCCCTAGGCCTGGCCAGCAATCAGGGCCAATCAGGGCCTTCCTTCCCCCAGCTGCCAGCTGCCGGCTGGGGCCTTCTTTCGTTCTGCATTCCCTCCCCCCGGTGGTCAGCGCACGTCATAGCGAGTGATTGAACTCCCGGTCATCGATAAGCTATTACTTGATTCTAAGTATCTCTCAGGTTTCCTGCCCCCTCCTGTCTTCTTAAGGTGGCGTCTCCTAGCTCAATCCTTCATTAACAATAATCAGAAATAATTGCTACTTTAAGATGAGATCAAACTTGTAATAATTGTAAAACTATTTGCTTGTTCTAAGGTTAATAATAGGCCATTTAGTAAGGAAATTCAGCATGAAAAATAATATCCCATTTAATGTATAAGTATAATGAAATGTCTTTATTAAGTATTTGCCATATTTTTGCATTTTAATAAGTCATATAAATAAGTTATTGGTCAATTTGAATTTTCCCAACATTTTTTTATATTACTAAATATAAATTCTAAACTTATGAAGTAAAATGAAACATTTAAATTAATAATATGACTTTAATGATAAACTCATGCTTTAATCATAGTAACACAAGGTGTTTCATAAGTTAATCCTTGAATTTTCAAAAGCTGTACCTATGAGGATTAATATAACTAAAAACATGCTTCTCATTCATCTAGTGGTAAAATACTAGTAAATAATCTTATATTTACCTTAATTCCACATGCTAGATAGGTCAATATGGCAATATTTACAAAAATAAAAATTAACTGCTCAAAACTACACTAGTCCTAGCTGGTTTGATTCAATGGATAGAGTGTTGGCCTATGGACTGAAGGATCCTGGGTTTGATTCTGGTCAAGGGTACATACCTGGGTTGTGGCTCTATCCTCAGTAGGGGGCGAGCAGAAAGCAGCCGATCAATGATTCTCTCTCATCATTGATGTTTCTATCTCTCTCTCTCTCCCTCTCCCTTCCTCTCTGAAATCAATAAAAATATATTTTAAAGAAACTACGCTAGTACTTCACACCCACTAGGATGGCTATTATCAAAAAAACAGGAAAAAGCATGTGTTAGGGAGGATGTGGAGAAACTAAAACCCCTGTGCACTGCTAGTGGGAATGTAAAATGGTACAGCCATAGTGGAAGACAGCATGGTGTGCCTCAAAAATTAAACACAGATCCAGCAATACTAATGATCCAGCAATTCTACGTCTGGGTATATATACCCCAAAAAAATTGAAAGTAGAGATTCAAGCAGACATTTGTACACCCACATCCATAGCAGTATTATTCACACTAACTAAAAGGTAGAAACCATCCAAAAGTCAATCAACAGGTGAATGGATAAACAAAATGTCGTATACACACACTAGGGAATCCAATTCAGACTTAAAAAGGAATAAAATCTACCCTGGCTGGTGTGGCTAAGTGGTTACAGCATCGGCCTGCACACTAAAAGGTCATGGGTTCAATTCTCAGTCGGGTTATGCGTGGGAAGCAATCAGTCAATAAATAGTCCATGTGTCTCTCTCACATTGATATTTCTCTCTCTCTCTCTCTCTCTCTCCTCTCTCTCTTTCTCTCTCTCTTCCTCTCTCCCCCACTTCTCCCCCCGCTCTACCCCATACACGCTCTCTTAAAAAAAAAAAAGCAATGGGAAAAATATCCTCAGTGAGGATTAACAAAAAACAAAACAAAAAAAGGAATAAAATACATGCTGCAATGTAGATAAACCTTGAAAACATACACTAAGTGAAATAAACCAGACACAAAAGGACAAATATTGTAATGACTCCCCTTATACGAGGGACCTAAAATAGTCAAATTCATAGAGAAAGAAAGTGGAATAGTGATTGCTAGAGGGGTGGGGAATTAGAAAGTATTGTTTAATGAGTATGGCATTTTAGTTTGGGAAGATGAAAAAGTTCTGGGGATGGGAGATGGTGATGGTTGCACAACAATGTAGTATTTAATGTCAATGAATTATACACTTAAAAATGATTAAAATAGTAAAATTATGTTTATGTATATTTTACCATGATGAAAAAGTAAAAATATAAACTTTTATTCTTTTTAAAAATATATTTTTATTGATTTCAGAGAAAGGAAGGGAGAGAGAGATAGAAACATCAATGATGAGAGAGAATCATTGATTGGCTACCTTCTACACACAACACATTGGGAATGGAGCCCACAACCCAGGCATGTACCCTGACCGGGAATGGAACCATGACCTATTGGTTCATAGGTCGACACTCAACCGAAGAGTCACGCCAGCTGGGCAAAAATGTATACTTTTAAAGAAAAAAAAAAAGCTTCATTGAAAAGCATGAAATTCTCTGCTTTCAGAGTAGAATACTTCAAATTGTAATGCTCTGAGAAATCCTTCATAAAACCAGGTATTTTCTCCAACTCCTCCCACCATAGGAAATGCAAGGAAAATAATACACCCACAAAAAAGGGAGCGGGATTTGGTTTATACATTGATTAACTTCATTTTATTATACTATAAACATAACTTTGTTCAGGTAAGATATAAGAAGAAAAACTATCATGCCAAAAAAACTACAGATGCTCCTTGACTTATAACGGGTTTTACCCCGATAAACCCATCATAAGTCATAAGTTGAAAACACAGTAAATCCAATGAATTTAATACACCTAACCTCATAGCTGAGCCTGGCCTACCTTAAATGTGCTCAGAACACTTACATTAGCCTATGGTTGGGCAAAAGCATCTCACTGCCACTGCCCAGCATCGCGAGAGACTGTCATGCCAAATAAAGTAGCCCAGCAAAAGGTCAAAATTTACATTACAGTTCCCACTGAATGCAGCTTTCACACCACCCTAAAGTCAGAAAGCCATAAATTAAACCATCGATTGAGTTGGGGACCATTTGTATTAATCTCACTAATAAGTAAGAGGATTAGATTAACTACAAAATTTTAATTCTATTATTATAAAGGCAGTATAATTCGAAGTGTTTTATATTTGTAAGTTTAGGTTTTTAATATATAAATATTACACATTATAGTTAGCCTAAGGATTAAAATATCATTTTAGTTATATTTGCCCCTTTTAAAAAGCTGTAATTATTTGAAAAAAAAGATGATAACAGTTCTTAAATATTTACACGGTTCTTACAGATTGACAAGGCTTGACGGCACAGTCTCTTCTTCCACACTGGCTGATATCTTTCCAGAAAGGACAGGGCCTCTTCAGGTTTACCTTGTAAAATAACAATAGAAAACATTTTAAAACAATCTCTAAAAACAGAAAAAGTTTGGAATTAACACATGTTGAATTGTGGTGCTATAACCTGATCGTGTTATTGGCTACAATTATTCTATTGCTTTCACTTATCAGGTGTCAAGTTCCAATGTTGACATAAAGGTGTAGCTGCTAATAAGTAAATTGGTAGACTTAGAAATTCACAGACTGTGACTAAACAAACCCTGAGCAGATGGCATCTAGGAGCCAAAGTAGCTCAGAGCACCACTACGCAACTCACATTCTTTTAAAGCAAGTAACAGTTAACATGGCAGAATCATTAGACAACTGTGAACTTAGACTATAACTATATAATCCAATGATCAGGTTTTCTAAACTCTTTCAGTAGATATCTCAAGATAAAGTATGACGAGTGATTTGTTAATATAATACAGGTCAAAATAAAGCTATGCTTCTCAAAAATATTTCATTTACTTACATTAAGTAATTGGAATAAATCTGATGTTTTAGAAAATTATGAACTCACGATTTTGATTACAATACACATACTAGTTTCTTTTCTGACTTCAGTTTAACCTACTAGTTTCTAACTCGTGTAAAACTCAGTTATTAAAATTAAAAGTATACAATGGGTAGTCTCAGAACCACGTTATTCACTCTTGTGAACTGAATTTTCCTAAAATGTCCTCGATCAATGTCAAGCACTAGCTACGATTTTGAAGCCTAGCAATGCCTAGCAATGCCTAAGAAAATGTAATTATCCATTTAAACTTTAAGTATTCTTATACAAAATTAAAATACCTTGTAATATCTAAAGTAGTCACTTTCAAGAAGTTTTTGTAGTCTTGGGAAAAGCCTGTAGTTATTAAATTTATCAATGGTTTCAACATCACAGGTACAATCATCCAAGTAACCACTGACCTGTTACAAAGAAAATGAAATATTAAATCAAAATGTCTTCGATGCAACAGAGTTCTTTTTCCTCACCTCGTTATGATGAAGGACATCTACTCAACCAACCTTTATCCTCCCTCCTCCCCATAATTTTCTGAGATCAGGTAGAACAATAATCTAGTAATGCTATTGCTCTAGAGGAATACTGTGGATACTTTTTGTAGGATGTACTGAGCTCATAACTATTAGGATGAACTACCTCTAATCTCTCCTTATTGTTATAAAGCTTTTCCCATAGCATAGGGCAGATGGCCAGTCGTGCCTGCAGAAGCAAGATAAGAGGAACTCTCCGCCTGACCGACCTGTGCACTCTCCTCCCTTGCCTCCCTTGGCCCACGTGTGCCCTCCCCTCCCCTTGACCAATTCATGCACCCATATCCTGGCCCTCTACTGCATACCTCTACCCTATATAAGAGAACCTCACCACCCCCTCGGGGCTGACACCAACACCCTGGTCTCAGCCCGCTGTGAGAGAATGCAATAAAATTTCTTACACTCTCACGTGTGTTGGCCTGGCTCCTGTCAGCATGGACCTAACAATAACAACGCATATACACCCAAAGATTTGGTCCCCTGCAGCCACCTGGTAGCCCTGCCCGCCAGGCCTGACCAGGGTTGGGTTACACAAAGATAGACACACAAAGATACATCTGACCCAAACCAGATCACAGTCCCTTCTCCAGGAACCTGGAATTGAGACCATGATGTCTCTCCCTAGACAGTAAGCAAGTAACTCAGACCATATTCCATCATGTGAACTGAGAAGCACATGACCAGTTAGCAGAGAAAGGGAAGATTTTAAAACATACACAGAACTAGAGACAGGAGATAGAAAACATATGCTACCTGGACTCCAGAGGGTTTCCCCACTTCTACCGTCTTTCCTGAAGCCCAGCTGCATTGGCACCCATGGCTTTTCTGGGACTCTATGTCCTTATAATTCCTTTTTCTCTGTCTTTCCCTTATTTTAGTTTCCCACAGGATTTGTAGGTTAGAGACAAGATGGGTGAAGAGATAATGAATTTGTAAGACAAACAATAATCTTATATATATACTAGAAGCCCAGCACATGAAATTCATACACTGGTAGCGTCCCAAGCAGCTGCCAGCTGCCAGCTGGGTACTCCCTCCCTCCCCCCGGCCAGCCCCGCCCCCTGGTCGAACTTCAGGACAAACTCCTGCTCAAGGGGACAATTTGCATACTACACTTTTATTATACAGGAAAAGGCTAAGTGACCTACCTTCCACTGTCTGACCATCTGACCGACAGACCGGCCGGTACATATGACGCACTCTGGCAATTTAAAAATAAACTTTGACTCGCACATGCACAATACATATAAAGCTCTCACTGGCACCAAGAAGATTTTGACACGCATAATTATTATTAATGAGAGATTCCACAACATTATGTGTTTAATAATTCTTCATGGAGAAAATGCCAAAAGGGCAGGTGTTCACTGTGAGCTTTAGAGTACCAGAACGATATAACCTTAGACTTTTGCTTCTGCATGTAAAAGGTGAGATAAGTTTTGCTGATCTGAGAACTGTAGGAGGTATAATTTATGATATTTTTCGTGAAACTGCTAAACATCGAGGATTATTAATCAATGACACTATCAGGAAAGATATGACTGATAATGCGATTATCTTTAATATGCCCAAACAACTACGGCAATTTTTTGCATATATATGCGTGTTTGGATGTCCTTCTGATGCAGACAAATTATGGGATGAGAATAAATCTCATTTTATTGAAGATTTTTGTTGGAAAGTACACCAAAGAGAAGGTGCCTGTGTGAACTGTGAAATGCACGCCCTTAATGAAATTCAAGAAGTATTCACATTGCATGGAATGAAATGTTCGGATTTCAAACTTCTGGACTATCCTTTATTAACGAATACAAATACATGTGATGAATTGTATGAGCGACAACAGGCAGAGGTTTTGATCAATTCTCTGAACGATGGAACAGCTGGCAGCCTTTCAGACTATAACGTCAGCCATCAAAAATCAAACTGTACACCCCAAATGCTTTTTCTTGGATGGTCCGAGCGGTAGTGGAAAAACATATCTTTATAAAGTTTTAATACATTATATTAGAGGTTGTGGTGGTACTGTTTTACCCACAGCATCTATAGGAATTGCTGCAAATTTACTTCTCAGTGAAAGAACCTTTCTTTCCCAATATAAATCACCAATTCCATTAAATGAAACTTCAATTTCTAGACTCAAAGAGTGAAGTTGCTAAAACCATTAAAAAGGCCCAACTTCTCATTATTGATGAATGCACCATGGCATCGTCATGCTATAAACGCCACAGACAGATTACTAAGGGAAATTATGAATTTGAATGTTGCATTTGGTGGGAAAGTTCTCCTTCTCGGAGGGGATTTTTGACAATGTCTCAGTATTGTACTGCATGCTATGCGATCAGCCATAGTACAAATGAGTTTAAAGTACTGTAATGTTTGGGGATGTTTCAGACAGTTGTCTCTTAAAACAAATATGAGATCAGAGGATTCTGCTTATAGAAAATGGTTAGTAAAACTTGGAGATGGCAAACTTGATAGCAGTTTTCATTTAGGAATGGATATTATTGAAATCCCCCATGAAATGATTTATAACGGATCTATTATTGAAGCTACCTTTGGAAATAATATATCTATAGATAATATTAAAAATATATCTAAAATATATTTGTTCTAAATATATTTTATTCGATTCTTTGTTCTGAAAATGAGCATGTTCATAAATTAAATGAAGAAATTTTGGATATACTCGATGGAGATTTTCACACATATATGAGTGTTGATTCCATCCATCCAACGGATGATGCCAAAAAGGGAAATTTTCTCATCAAATTTCTTAGAAACATCGATGAGAGAGAAACATCGATCAGCTGCCTCCTGCACATCTCCTACTGGGGATGTGCCCGCAACCCAGGTACATGCCCTTGACCGGAATCGAACCTGGGACCTTTCAGTCCGCAGGCCGACGCTCTATCCACTGAGCCAAACCGGTTTCGGCAAATTTCTTAATAGTATTACTCCTTCGGGATTGCCGTGTCATAAATTAAAATTGAAAGTAGGTGCAATCATCATGCTACTGAGAAATCTTAATAGTAAATGGTCTTTGTAATGGTATAAGATTTATTATCAAAAGATTGCGACCTAACATAATTGAAGCTAAAGTATTAACAGGATCTGCGGAAGGAAATGTTGTTCTGATTCCAAGAATTGATTTGTCCCCATCTGACACTGGCCTCCCATTTAAATTAATTTGAAGACAGTTTCCCGTGATGCCAGCATTTACTATGACTATTAATAAGTCACAAGGACAAACTCTAGTCTAGACAGAGTAAGCATATTCCTACCTGAACCCGTTTTCAGACATGGTCAGTTATATGTTGCTTTCTCTCAAGTTCGAAGAGCGTGTGATGTTAAAGTTAAAGTTGTAAATACTTGCCTAGCTGGTTTTGCTCAGTGGATAGAGCGTCAGCCTGCGGACTGAAGGGTCCCGGGTTTGATTACAGTCAAGGGCACATGCCCAGACTGTGGGCTTGCTCCCCAGTGGGGGGCATGTAAGAGGCAGCCGATCAATGATTCTC